AAATCCCCCAGTGAAGAATGTTGGGAAATTGCTATAAAGACAGAAACAGCTGGTCTGATTAGCCTGGCTGTTGGGAAGGAGGCATTAGCATAAATGGAAGCATCATGGAGAGGAGAGCTGAAGTGTGGAGACTTAGATATCAGAGGAAATTGTTAAACCCAAATACTACCTTCATATTCCACATCTCGTCTGTCAGGTCCTTTTTCATCCCAGCCCTAACCTCTGGTACAAACTTCATAACCATGTTCTGGTTTCAAGTTTTCATCATCGTACACAATAAATAACTAAAAATAGAGAGCAGTAGCAGTCAAATATTTTATTTCATTAATTATTTATTTTAATTTTATTATTATTGTTATTAATTACAATTTATTCACATTGTAGCCAAATTGTAGCCTCCTTCCTTATCTCCTCTTGGTCCTGCCCTCTCTCCCTCTTCCTCCCCTATCCCTCTTCCCTAGTCCACTGATAGGGGAACTCCTCCCTTACTGTCTGACTCTAGCCTATCAGGTCCCTTCAGGACTGCCTGGATCCTCTTCCTCTGTGGGCTGGCTAGGTTGCCCCGCCAGGGAGAAGTGATCTAGGAGACTTCTGTTTCTTCTCCCCTTACTAGGAAACCAAACGGAGACTGAACTGCCTATGGGCTACAACTGAGCAGGGGCTCTAGTTTCTATCTATGCATAGTCTTTGGTTAATGCATCTGTCTCTGCAGTTCCTCCTTACCCGTTTTTTGTTTGTTTGTTTGTTTGACTTTGTGGTCTCCTTGTGTAGATCCTGTCCCCTCCAGTCCTTTTATATCCTCCATCTTCCATAAGACTCCCTGTACTCTTTCCAAAGTTTGGCTGTGAGTCTCTGCATCTGCTTTGATCCTCTTAGTGAGGTATCCCAGAAGCAGGCAGACACGCACAAATACACGCACTTATAAGTGAGTATTAGTCATATTATGTATATTAAACATATCAAAATCTACCTGAAGAAGCTAAATTATAAAGAGGATCTGAGGGAAGATGTTTAATTCTCATTCAGAAGGGAAAACAGACACTGGAAGCAGTAGAAGAAACAGGACTAGAACATACCACAATCTTTTTTTTTTTTTTTTTTTTTTTTTTTTTTTTTTTTTTTTTTTTTTTTAGTTTTTATTTTATTTAAGTTTATTTACTTTACATCCCAAGGGTGCCCTTTCCCTCTTCTCCTCCCAGGCCCACCCTCATCCTCACTCTCTTTCACCTCTCCCTCCCCCCACCAGAAAAGGTGAACACCCCCTATCAACTCTCTCCTGCCCATTAAGTCACATTAGGACTGAGCATAGCCTCATCCACTGATGCCAGGCAAAGCAGCCCACCCTGCCAGGGGGAAGCGATCCAAAATTAGGCAATAAAGTCCATGTTAGAAACAGCCTTCACCCCTTCATTCGCCAGGTGACCCACATGAAGACGAAGCTTCATGTGACATCTCTATGGCCATGTATGTATAGGAGGCTTAGTTCCAGACCATGCATGTTCCTTAGTTAGTAGCTCTATCTCTGTAAGGCCCCATGGTCTGGGTTAGTTGTCTCTGTTAGTCTTCTTGGGGGTTCTTGTCCCCTTTAGGTTCTTCCCTATTTCCCCGAACACCTCCAAAAGACCCCCAGAGTTCCATCCCATGCTTGGCTACAAGTCCCAGCATCCGTCTCACTCTGTTGCTGGGTCAAGTCTCCCAGACAACAGTGATATTAGGCTCCTGTCTACAAGTATAGCAGAGCATCATTAATAGTGTCAGTGGCTGGCTCTCTGCAGTGGAGTGGGTCTCAGGTTGGGCCAATCATTGGTTGGGAATTTTCTCAATCTCTGTTTCCTTTCTATTCCTGCACTTCTTGTAAGCAGGGTAATTTTTAGATCAAAGGTTTTCACCTCCCCCAGTCAGGCCTGGATAGGAGGTGGTCACTTCTATCTTAACATAAAACAGAAAGAAAACTGTAAAAAAATTTTTTTTTGATATAGTCAGTTGGATTTTTAATTCTGTTATTTAAAGCCTTGTGTGCCTTGGATACGTTAATAAAGATCTTGAAGCCTTCATTTCCTAATGTGAATTTGTAAATGTTCAACAAATTGGTATAGCATGAAAAGTTTAATCAGACATCATACATAAATTAGAACAGGAACTTAAACTGTCCACTAGAGAAAACTATTGTTCAAAAACTCTTCCCTCCCTCCACATTCTACAGAATGTTGGAATACACGCAGTCAGGCAACCAAGTGAGGAAGTAAGTAAGAACATCCATGCAAGTGGCACACAGAGCACTTCAAAGCTATGAACACTAAATTCACAGCAAGGATCTGTAGGACTTGAGAGTCTTAACTGGGAGGTACAGGGGACCTCCCCAAAAGAAAAATGTGCATTTGATCTACCTATTCTTCACGTGAACAGGCACTATCTGTCTACTTTGTCAAGCCTGGTGTTCAGCACCAAGGAAGCAAAAATGTACTAAGATGCGGCCCTCAGGCCCCCTAAACCTCCCACATACATGTATGAGGACTCTCCTAAGTCCACAGATGACTTTTTAGGAATCCAATAGTGATTTATCAAAAGGCTATATAGTCGAAGAGGAAGCTAGGGATGGGTAACACATGTTGAGTAGAAAGCAAGTCAAAAAGAAACTATCTAGTCACAGGGTCTACTACGATCCTACCAGGTGGGAAGACAAATGTGATCAAAATGTTGTCACTGAGACATCAGTGCTTTTCTGAGAAAGTCCCAGAGAAATATTCATCTACAAAGCCACCTTTTAAAATTTGCACTTTCACTTTTAATTTATTACTTTGTAATTGCCTAAACATCAATATACTGATCTTCATTTTATTCTTACGATGATTACTCTCAGACAAGTGAATACCGAGTCATAAAGCTTATAAGTTCTGAAAATGAATTTGGTAATTCTCTAATAGTCATACTATCCAAAATTTCAGAAGGTCTCTCTGGAATTAAACCTGAAATACAAAGTCAAACTGTGTTTTTTCTCTCACTTCTTTCCTCTGTCCACATTTCCTACTTCTGTTTAAGCTTGTTCGTTGTTCACGTATACTTTGTTGGATGCTCACCCAAGCCCTTTATGGAAAGAGATGTTATAAATGAACCACTCTGTGCATAATGCATACATGCATATGTATTTGCTTAATGATTCATAGTTTAACTTGAAAAACCCTAACTGGCATTAACCACATAGAGAACTGTGGGCGTTTCACTTCCTGTTTTGCCAGCTTGAAGCATGAAGAAATGGACTAGAGTGCACAGGAGCTTCCCTGAGAGGGAAAGAGGCTCAGGCTGTCTCCTTGCATCTTGTGTGCTGTCTGTCTGATTGACAAGACATTTACTGCACTGAACTTTGGGCTTTATATCCAGAAAAAAGAGAAATTAATTCTTGATCTGCTACCTTATTTCACTAATAAGAGAGTAATAATTGCATGACTGTATTCCAAGTTGAAGGTAATTACAAAAATTTAAGGCAACTTAATTAATACTAATAACTCCATTTTCTTTCAGGGGGATTGTTTAAAATAATTGTGAAAAACACATTCTAGGCCTGGCCTTCTTTTATGTTCTTCTTTTATTGTTGTGTATACCATTTCTTTCCATCCTTGTTCACTTCATCAGAAGTTCTCAGAATTCCAGTATCTTCTGTGGCTAAGTTTATTTCACTTAGAAGAAGGAAACCCTACCTTTATTTTTGTTGTCACAAACATCAAGATTTCCATCTTTCCTAAGGTCAAATAACATTCCACTGAAAATATATAGCGTACTATCTCTATTCGTTAACCAGCCAATGAACATTTGTGTTGTCTCCATAATCTGAATATTTTGAACATTTATTATTAATCATAATGAGCAAGGAAATTCAATTTTTGGAAACCTTTATTACTATATCTAATAATAGTTCTGCTATGATTTCCTTTATCAAGAAATGTTTTTAATGAATCTCAAATGCTCAATTTTTCCAATAAAGACTTGGGAGCCAAATGTTGGGGTGAAAGCTTGCTAGCTCAGAGATGCTGCCTCAGAGAGGTCACGAAGCTGAACTTCCCAAAAGGAAGGAGCTTTCATACTCCCCAAACCCTCAAACTTAAGGTCCTTTCCTTCTACTTTCTGTGCATCTTTCCATCCGTCTTCCTGACTTCCTCTGACTCTCTATGCTTTTTTCCCCATCTTCACTCCATCAACTGATTTCTTGCTCCACCTCTTGATCTATGGTTGATGTCATTTAATTGAAGCAGAATGCTCTTGGATTAAATGTGTACACTAGGGCTGAGCAACACTGCAACTAGAAATATGTTTTTTTTCCAGTAAATAACACAATCTTGCGGTTCACAGTTTGAACAAATATCCTGCATCAAAGAAACCTCCATACTAGTGTAATGACTCAACTATTTTATACTACTATTAATAACAAATAAGTGATCTGAGCTCTCTTTTCTCCTTAACCTTAAACACACACACACACACACACACACACACCACTGTGCACATGCCATTACATATAGAGTGTTTGAAGGGAGTAAGCTGAAAGCAGCAATGTGTACTCCCAACATTCACCCATCTCACAAACATGTCCAGAAATGGGAAGGGATCGCAGATCTTCATGACTCCCTGAAGGGATCTACGAGTCCATCAAAGAGCACCTTGCTGAAAAGGAGCATTAACTGCAGCAGATCTACCGTTGCTACCTAGGTATGTGAACTTGTGTGTTCTGCAATCATTAAGAAGAAACGACCAACTTACGATTTCTTTTCTGCACTGCTCTCCACTTTTCTCCTCGCATTAAAGATACCCCTATCAAGAAAATTATTTTTAACGCTGCCTCTGTGACATCCATAACTTAGTAGGTGATAATTTAAGAATGACACCCACTGACAAAGTGACAGAGTATGTTTTACACACTTTCTTGAAAAATTGCAGTTAAATATGGGCATTCATAGCATAGCTCTAACAACATTATTTATGATATGAGTTTATAGACAGTCATAAGATATGATAACAAAATTTATAAAAATAAAAGTATATCAGGAATTTTTATTTAATAAAAATACAGCATACTACAAATCGGCCAGGCTATCTGTATTAATCATATTTCTGGAAGAATTAGGTAAAAATGGAAGACGAAGTTCAAATCACCAGCGCTCAAAAAGAGCCCGTGGAATTTACATTGCATCCAGTAGGAAAAAAAGGGAAAGTAAGCAAGCGTTCAGTTCAATTCAGAAACTACCAAAATTCTTCTACATTAGTTGAAACACAGTACATGATATAGTTTATATTCAAAAGGGCAAGGGAAGAGTAATGCTCTTTTCTGCTCTCACTGGCCTTTACCCTCTTTTCCTTCAGTTTGATAAGATAGGGGTTGACTTTCTTGATTACAGTTCTCTGCCTTAGTTGGTTAAAGCACACACCTGGAAAGTACGGTGTTTCATCACAGTGTTACTTGTTTCTTCTTTGTAAGGTCCAGCACGTTTCCAGCCTTGTTTCACCTTGTGCATCATGGGATGCTGTCCACAGCAGAACCTGAGGTGAGCTGTAACTCTTAATAGCTGTAAACAGAATGAAAGTTGCACCAAGAGTTCTGTCCTCCTCAGGTCCAAGTTGCTGCTTCCTGGTGATTGCATATTTCCTCTGCTGTTCCCTCTGGATTACAGGCTTTCCCATCTAACAGGGCTTTTCTGAGTCTTCTCCAGAAGATGTGCCTCCCCAGAGCATTGTCCTCCCACTCTAAGTAGGTGTTCTTGCTGAGAAGGCGATACAACTCTACCTGCTGCCTAAGCAGGGACTTCTCCACCTTCTCCAGCACAATGAAGATGAGGCCAGAGCGGCTGCTCAGAAACTGCCATGTCTGAGCAATCTCATATTCAAAGACACACCAGCGGCTCTGTATAAAATGTCTAGACACCACCACAATAACCTTCCGGCTCTTGTGGAAGCCTTCCTGGATGATGTTGGCAGCAATGGCTACTCCAGGAATGAAGTCTCTGTAATGAAGACAGAGCTGAAATGGGGGAACTCCTTCTTCTAAATTCTTTACCAACTCGTTTCTCACCCAGTCCTCATCCTGGCTTGAGTAGATGACAAAGGCATCATAGATGCTTTCACCTCTGCTGTACTTCTTACAGCCAGCAATAAGTACCAGGTGAAAATAGAATTTGTAGATCAGAAAGGCTATAGTGGTCACCACAAGCACACTCATCACTGACACAGTGATGATGGTCTTGTGCATATAACATGTGGCATTCCTAAAATTCAACACCAGGGAGTCCTTCATGTCTACAGGTGTTGCACATTTCATTTGTTCAGCATTCACCAAGAGCATCCTCTGGTCCTTGACCCACTGCAGGAAGTTCTGGTGTTCACATGTACAAGCCAGAGAATTATTAGTAAGATTTAAGAAGGCTAGACTATTTGGAAAATGTTGCAGTATTCCTTTGGCTGTCTCTATGCGATTGAAACTACAATCCAGAGTCTTCAGGGAGTGCAGCTGTTTATAATGGAATGGGTCCAAAACCAGGAGGTTGTTGTGACTCATATTTAGTAACTGAAGTCTATTGAGTGTGTCAAACACACCCCAAGACACACGTTGCAACTGGCATTTAGAGAGATCCAGGAATGTCAAGTTTGTTGTAATTGTGAAGACATTTGAAAGTGTGTTGTCTTTGAAAGAATTGCCAGCCATTTTTAAGGTGTTGAGACTGATCAAGCCAAGAAATATGCCTTCAAAGCCAATTTTAGTGTTAGTGTAAGAGATATCAAGGTACAGGAGTTTTTCAAGGGATAAGAACACTGAGAATTCTGAGACCTCTTTTAAAGTGGAATGCTGAAAATCCAGGTATTCCAGTTCTTTTAGGCCCATGAAGTTTGAACTCATACGGATGACACCATTGTAGCTGAGGTCTAAGTGTTTCAGTCTGTTTGTTCCCAAATGAGAATCAGAACAGCAACCACTAAAGCTCAGGCTATTTCTACTGAGATCTAGAAATGTGAGACTTGGCAGATCCACTTCCTCAAAACTGGTAGCCCCTTTGTTGGTAGTTAAAATCAAACTTTTAAGAAAGGGTAGTTCCAGAGGTGGAAACTGCTTAAGCTCACATCTAGTGACTGTTAAGGATCGCCACTTGAAATGTTTAGGAATATTTTCGAGGTGTTTTAAATATACATTTGCCAGAGACATTGCAGAAACATTTGCCAAGCAATTGAAGTCAGTAATGTCATCTGAAAAGTGATCTGTATATGTTAAATGGAACTCATCAATAGTCAATGTGCACAGTTCTTCCATGACAGAATTGTCAAATCTTTCTACATGCTTTTCATTTTTAAATTCTCCCAAAATCAACCGATGGACTTGTAATCCAGCCAGGTTTTGAATGCAGGTTTTCATTACATTTGTGCTATTAAAATTACTTCGCAGAGTCAGTTCATGTAGCCTAATTCCTTGAAAGGAACGAGGTTGAATGAAGTCAATTGGGTTCAAAGACAGGTCCAAAGAGAGATTGAAGTGGGGATTTTCGCGTAGAACCTGTAAGTCTTTGTGGTAAATAGTTTGAATATAGTTATTAGAAAGGTCCAAGTGTTGTAGGTTGGTCAGGTTAGAAAAATATTCTGGTAACTTGGAGGAATGTATAAGATTGTGAGCGACATTGAGTCTTTTTAAGGCAATAAGTTGTCCAATAGGGAAGCTTTCTAGAGAAGCCAGTTGTATCTCCACAGCCACCAGATTTTCTAAACTTGTTAATCCAGAAAAGCTTTCCACGGATAAACTCTGGATAGGGTTTCCTGTCAGTATCAAGGTTGAGAGCTGGTTTAGGCCATGATATGCCTTATCTTCTATTGTCTCAATTTCACACCTATGAGTAAAAGAGATACCAGTAATGTATTTTTGCTTAATAAAAGTTTTTAAACTCGTAACACTCCCTGCCACACCACAATAAAACAGATGTAAGGTGCATGGCATTGTGAAGAGAAAAATACACAAAACAAAGCAAGTGACAATGGTGTGAACATCGTTAACAAGCTCCGCAGAGTCAGGATTTTCACACCCGCTACAGTGATAAGCTATCAGACTTTATAGGGCAGCAAATCCATCAGAAGGAAGTCAATTCAAGATCAATAGCTGGGGCTCATAAAGGCTGTTGGACAGAATATGTAATAGCTTTAGATTTAGTTTAGGCATTTTTTTCCCCACACATAGCTGTGATTGTACATCTAATGGGTATTTAGCGATACGGGTGGTTGTTAGTTGTTAGTCATGATAAATGACTGGGTGAGAGTCAATTTCAAAGGTATAAATAATTACACAAAAGTGTCAAGTGTCAAAGATGGCATTCATGTTTACAAAAAGTTTCTCATATGACAGCTAGGTATTTTAAATCTGTCATTATCACAGGTAAATGTTAATAACTGGTGATGTGACTAAGTTTTGTGGAAGGAAAGGAATGTGGGCTACAAATGTTCACCTCAAAGAAATTGACCCTCTCTCAGGAGATGAAAGCAGACTTCACTGAGAATTTTTTTGTACAAATGTGAATGATGAATAGGTGTGAATGTGAAGAATATGTGAAGTAAACAGCAGATCCATAAACCATAGTAGGCAGCAGCCATGCCACATGGAGGAGCAAAATCACAGTCTCTGTGGCTACAGAGCAATGAGAGAACTGAGACAAACAAACATAATGTGGAGAGAGTGGGTTGCAGAGACTCACAAGGCCAGTAAAAGGTTCTCAATTTTGTCCCAAGAAAAATGTAAACTGTTCTGCATATAGCATTCATATAGTCAAGTTAGCAACAGAGCTCATATGCAGCCGAAAAACAGTGATGCCTGGTAGGCTTCATTGCAGATGTATGCCAGACACATGTAGCAAATGAGTCATTTCCAAATCTAACCCAACGAACTTGCACCGTAACCTCACTTTCTCTATTCTCTTTGGGATACTCATAGGTAATAAGATCATTTAGGGAAATGCTTTAATTATTTATTGGTAATCCGAGAAAAGGTGAGAGTGTGATAAAAAAAAAAAAGAATATTGTAAGAGGAGGCCATGTACCCAGTGTTGGGTGTGCCTACTCTCTTCTCTCCCTGTATGACCTTTGGAACCCATTATTTTCTGTGAGGTTCCTTCATCCTACTTTTAAATGAGGGAATGGTGTTGCCCAAGTTCCTCCTTTCAGTTATGATTTCATTGCCCACAGTCATATACATATATTGCCATCTACAGCAGGCAAGGGCAAAAGGGTCTTTCTCTGTTTCTACCTCATAACAGCAAGCTCATAATTTTAGAGAAATGGACTGAGAGAGTGAAGAAACTTTGACCTTGGAAGCATGAGATGTGAGCCTGACTCTGTTCTGCTGAGGTAAGCAATATTACTTGAGATAAGTCGCTCAAATTCTTCAAACTCCAGTTTTCTTAGCCGAAGAAGAAGAAGAAGAAGAAGAAGAAGAAGAAGAAGAAGAAGAAGA